CCCACCTGGGGGGCACCACAGGGCACAGAGGTTTCATCCTGGCGCCGCTAGATTTTGTCCATCCTCCACTGTCCCTTTGCTGGTCCTGCGTCCACCTCCTGGGATTGTTTACGGGGGGGGGGAACCAGGACCACCAACCAAACTGCCCCGGAGGCTCTTCCCTCAGCCCTGCCTCTCGGGGAACAGGTACTCCACCACCACAAGCCCCCCACTCCACCCCGTCTCCCAGGCCCACAGCCTTGGCACGGGATTCATCCTGCCTAAATATATACAGTACATGCACACATGGAGAGGCTGTCTTTAATGTACAAAAATAGGCTTTTGAGGAGGGAGGGAGGGAAGGGGGAGAATCCATAAAAATAGGCCAAGTGGAAACTTGGGCTGCTGCCTCCACCCCCTTCCTTGCTTCCTTGGGGTAGTGGTCGTTCTCCGGTGTAGAGGAAAGCTCGCTGCCTCTCTGATTCTTCTTGCTCCTGGGAGACACCCCCCCCCCGTCCAGGAACACAGACATCCAGGTGGTTGCCAGCACCAGGGAGGAGAGAGGTCAGGCCGGGCAAAAGCCGAGCAGGCCTGTTCTGAAGCTGGCAGTGCCATCTGGGTGCGTGGGACGCAGCTCTGCCCCCCCCAAAACACCACAGTTGGACAACCTCATTTGTGACGCACAAACCCCCTTGCCCTCTCCTCCGAGAATCCCAATTTCTATTTGGACCCAACAGGATTGGAGGGAACATATGGGTCCCGCTTCTCTCCTTGCTGCTGGGACCTGGCTTTGGGCATCCAGGGCCCCTGAAGGGCCCAGAAGGGGGAAGCTGAGAGGGCCCCCCCCGTGGGTCCGCCCTGCCCCCTTCTTGCCCTTCTTGCGGGAATCCTGACTCCTCAGCAGATGCCTGGCCTCCTTCCTGCCACTCCAGGGATCTGGTCACCTGGCAAGGGATCACTGGGGAACTCTGAGTCCGTAAGGATCCCCAAATCGTGCGTTCAGAGGGGGGTGGGTGACTGCGGCTGTTCTCCCTCTGTCCTCGCCTCGCCTCCACGCGACCTGCTGCTGGACTCAGGACCCGGCTTCCCTCCTTGTCTGGGAAGGATAGGGAGGAAGAGATCGCCCCTCCCCCAGAGGGGTTTCCAGGATTTTGGGGGGGGGGCTTCCCTCAGCAGACCAGCAGCAGGTTGGACTAGAAAGCCGGCCATCTGGCCAGCGGGGGCAGGCCTGGGCCCGTCATGATCAGCTCCTTGGCGGGACTGTCTTGCCTGATTCCTGCTGCTCAATGGCTGCCTCTCACACACACACCCCTCCCGCCAGATGTCCTTTCTAGGGATGGGGGGGGGGAATGGGGTGTGGTAGGGGCAGGTCCTGCCCTTTGCAAAATGAGAACCAGGACACTTGCTGGAAAAAGAGGAGGAGGAGGAGGAGGGCCTGCTGTGCTTGTGTTTGTGTAAGAAAACATAGGAAGGGAAGAACCGCCTTACACCAAGGGAGGCCGTGGCTCCATCAGCCCCCTTGATGAACACCATGGCAAGGGCTCCCCTTCAGATGAGGAGGGGACCAGTTTACCTGAGATGCTTCTGGAGACATCTCAGATCCTGAAGCCTTCTGTAGGCAAGAGTGACGCCATTGGTCTATGGATGTTTGCACTCTGTGTGTGTGTGTGCGTGCGCACGCACACTCATGCACTTAGGCTTAAAGTTCGGAGAGAGACCTGGGTTGGGGCGGGGCAAAGGACAAAGGGAGGAAGCCCCTGCCAGGGTGCGGATGGATCTTGGGGCTGAAAGTGAGAGGGAGGCGACTCTGGGATAAAGGCAGCCCCCCCCCGGCAGCCCCCCCCCCCGTGCTCCACTCCAGTCCTGCTGGTGGTGGCAAGGAGAGCAGCCTCTTAAGGGTCATCCAGACTATAGCTCTCTTGGCCCTCAGGACCCCCTTGGTCAGGAATTGCACCCCCCCCTCTTTCTCTCCTGCCTAGCCACCTTTGAAAGCTGTCCACATTGGCGGGGGGGGGCGTTCAACACATCCACTCATTTCACTGGGCGTTGTACGAAGAAAGACATCCGTTCCCACAGCTCACAGGCGACCACTGAGGGCTGGTTGCTCCCTGAATTTGACATCCTCCTGACTCGGAAGCCTCCCTCTGGCTCAAAGGGTCCTGCCCGGGTCTCTCTACCTGGCACGGCAAAGGGCAGTCCTTGGGGGCTGGAGAGGTAGCACAGCAGCCCCGTCAAGCAGAGTGGGCAAGCTGCGGACAGGCGGCTGGTGTGGAGGAGGAGGAGGAGGAGGAGGCAGCT